GAGTGTCTGTAGGCCCCCTACTCACAATATCTCCTAGGATTCCATGCGATCCCTGTTAGAGGTTAGCCAGCACCCACTTTGCAGATGCGTAGACTGAGGCCTGAAGCTCCTCCCCCTCATGTGCATGTGGAGATGACCATGTTCAGATTGAGCCTGACCAAGCAGAGCAGGTGGCAATCTGGTGCAGGCGGTGGGGCTCGGGGCTGGGTGGGCCCCCATCTTTTGGTGTTGCCTTGTAGAAGTGTGGACACCTTGTCCTCAGGGCCTCTGCCCTCGTCACTCTCAGTAAAGCCTGCCCCTACTGCCATCGTCTCAGACGGGACACTGTCCGTGGCCTTTGTGACCATTGCTCTCATTTGTAATTTGAGGTGTATTACTATGATTATTTCGTAACATCATCGTACACTTTTCATGTTGCATGAAGTCAAGGACAAGGTCTGTCCACTTCCTGTTGTTGGTACTGGGCCTGGCATAGTGCCCAAAGCAGGGAACGTTCCATGAATAATATTTGTTGGATGAATAAAAAATGAATGAATGCAAACATGACTGGACTAGATTTCTGTAGGAAGAATTTGGTGTGCTGCATTAAGAATTACTGGTAAGGAGAAGCCATAGAATTGCCCAAACTAGGAAGGTGATATTTGTGTGACACTGTAGGATAAGCACTGGACTGCTAACCACAAGGTCAGCAGTTCAAACTCACCAGATGCTCCTCAGAACCCCTATACTGGGTGAGTCAGAACCAACTTGACAGCACTTAACAACAACATTATAATACAGGTGACACACAATCCCAAAATACGGGATACTAAGTCGAGGGACAGATGGAGGATGTGGTGGGTGGGTGGGGGTGGGAGAGAAACTGCACACTGTGTAAAGTAGGTGGGATTCTCTTCACAGTGCAGAAACGAAAGATCAAGTCAGTGAATGGCCCAGGATGAGGAAAAAGGAGACTGGCTGGGAGTGCAGATACCAGTTGCTTGTGAGTAGACCTGAGCTCATGAGGATCCCATGTATGTCAGAGTAGAACTGTGCTCCATGGAGTCTTTAATGACCGTGACCTTCTGTAAGGTGATTACCAAGCATTTGTTCTGAGGTACCTCTGGGAGAACTCCAACCTTCAACCTTTCATTTATCAGATGAGAACATTAACCCTTGGCGTCTCCCAGGAACTCCAATGCAGACAGTGCTGTCTACAGATTGTGGAGGGTCCTCTTCTGGAAGAGGCTGCTTATCAGCCATGCTGCCCTAGGGGGCCGGGAGCTCTCTGTACTGCTGGCTGCTTCTGTCTGTTGATTACAGTTGTAGTGTCATATCCGGTCCCATGCTGCCACACACCACAGAAATTCAGTTTCTCTCTAATGAGGTTTTAGTTAGAATGTTGGAGAAGAAAGCCTTTTAATTAGAATGATAGTAATTGAGATCCCAAACCACAGAAGACTTCTTGGTAGAAGACACAAATGCAGTTAAAAGAAGAAAAGACACCAAAATGGAACACTTGCGAATTTTAACTCCTTTAAAGCAGAGGTCCTGGTGTGGTGCTGTGGGTAAAGTGCTGGACTGCACAGCTGTTTGAACCTCAAGGCCAGCAGTTCAAGCTCACCAGCCGCTCCTCGGAAACCTTATACAGGGTCGCTATGGGTCAGTCCAACTTGACAGCACTTAACAATAACAACAACAAAGACAACAA